ACGACCTTAACTAACTCAATCTAGATAAATTATTACAAAGCACGAATCATCTATTGTCCAGATGTCATTGGTTCTCTAGCGCTTCATCCGATCCTTCGACACATCGTCCTCTCCTTCAGCGTATTGTCCAATCGATATATTGACACCCGCAACTTTCGATCTCCTTAGCGCAATGTCTGATCCTTCAGCCCGATGCCCGATTTCATGGCACGAAGCCTTCTACCGACACGTCGACCGATCCTCCGACCCAACGTCCAATCTTTTGACATGTTCAACTCTGGCCCAACATCCAATTCCTCCTGCTTTAATCAATTTACCTTTCTAGATCAAAGCTAGTCTTACGTCACTCAAAACATAGATTAGATCATAACATTATCAATTGGTTTCATCATCAAAATATGAGATTCAACAATGAGAGGAATGTTATTGCTTAGACAAATTCCTAGCCAGAGTCATTCAGAATAAGAGAGAAAGAGTTATCTAGGAGAATCCGATTAGAGCGAGACTCGAGGAGAAACCATATGGGCCTAACAGTACCATGCTCGGTATACGATCTCTAGGGTATTAGATGGATGAAAGACTATAGATGCACGGTAACCGAGGATAAACAAGTCCAATAGATTATATTCCCTTATATTATTTGGGTATTGCGGCGTAGTGGCCTAGTACATCCGTAGTCGATGAGTTGAGTGAATTATTATGAAGATAATAATTCACTGAGCTAGAAAGAGTTCCGACAAGTATGGCTCACGACCAGTTCAATATTAGGTCTAGAGGGTCACACACCTATAGTAGACATTGCGACAATCGACATTCGAAAAAAAAAATAAGATCATAATATCTATAACATTTATATTCAATGTCAAACCCCAACGAAATAATATAATCATGATCGAGGTTGCCACGTTTTTTATACTCAGGCTGAAGAAGAACAAACGAGCACACCCAAAAACTTGAGATCAAATAGTTGGGCCCAATGAGTATAGTTAATGGAATTAAAAATTAATAAAAATGTGTTGAGAAATATTTAGTTGTGTTTGAGATATATCAGAAGAAAAAATCTTGAATATCAGCAGACGCAAGTGGCAAAGGATAAGTCGTCTTACAAATAGATGAAATAGAATTGATACTTGTTCATCATAGTTGATGGATTGGTGAGAGAGAGAGAGAGAGAGAGAGATGGGACTCAACTTTGAGCATTGTGTGAGTTTGATATCATGAAAAAGAAGGAAGATAAAGGTGAAACTTTGTATTAGCTGTATGCATTACAACCCAATTTATAGAATAAAAAATAATTAGATTAATCTCATAAACACTAATCAAGGGATGTCAAATCCTTTTTATATGGTAAGATATAGAGAAAATCTAATCTTCTCATGATAGTCGTGATCAAGAAAAATATGAGATTAAAAAGAAAAAAACGAGATATTCTAATATGGTAGCTTTTACAATTCAACCATCTCTCTTCCCTTGTGCATACTATACTGCCTGAGAGCTCCCATGTGCCATATCCACCGACACAGTATCTTGTTGAACAAAGTGCATAAAGGAGTTCTGATGACGAGACAGTGTAAAATTGCAACCTATGACTTGATTCCCTCCTGAAACTGGGGATGGTAGTGAGAGGTACTGTGAGAAACCAATACAATCTAGTAGTTTGCATCAGTAATCAATAATACAGGTATGTCAAGTAACAAAGGGGTATGTGATAAGATAAATCTTGAAGTACGTAACCATCAGCTTTTGTACTGTTTCCTTCAGTACACTTGGACAAAACAATTAATATGTCCAGATACGTTATGGATTCTGCAGTGTCTCACCCTCAATTAGCCACTCGAGAGGACTTGTCTTCCATTCTAATTGGCTTCTTCTATTCTAATTGGCATCGTCGGCGACCTCTTTTGGACCATCATCCTACATCACCTGTATCAATCGAAACATGTCGTACTTACGGCTGAATTATCAACACCGCACCAAGGAACAATTGTCGATGCAGCCACAGTGAGGGACCACCGACAAGAGGAGCAGTAGGTTGATTAGAATCTTGTCTTCACCACCGAGTATGAAACAGCAGCTGCTAACTGTTGCTTGTTGCTATCTGAATACTTTTCTCAGTTCCACAGCCAGAATACAAGTTGCAAAGCTCTTTAATTCTAGACAATGGTATCCAAATCTTTCGCCAAATCGCGTGAGCGAGCATATAATTTGATAGCTTAACCTCGGGGACAAGTGGAATTTTCTTCTCCACCCTCGAGGCTCATGGACTGTACTTGGTACACCTGCGGTGGAAGCACCATGGTGCAACTACGGTGGATTCAATGTATGCCAGCTCCTGCAGCAAGTGGGCGTTCGTCCCATTGTTTCTCCTGTCAATCCTGTTACACAGCATGGCCAAACACAGAATTACGCAGAGTATGGTCACATTCACACCTATAACTTCAATGGCCACTGGAATCTCTTACCCCTGTTCATTCTTGTCTGCTTCCTCTACATTTCTTGGGTGTCGATACCAACCTACCGTTTGCACATCACAAAGAGAAAAGGACCGGATTGCAGTGTCCCTGTGTTTTTGGTTAATATACTTTTTTTCAGCTTACTAGTAACACAAGAAACACACGATGTCTACATCTCATCCAGCTTCAACAGCTGTTCTCTTCTTCCTTTAAAAGCTCATCATCTCTTCCCTCCCCTGTGAAGAGGAAAGTTGAGTACATGTCTATCCGAAAGTTGGTAATGGCATTAGAAGCTGTTGTATTCTCTCAGGGACTGTTCGGTTACGCTTGCAAGGAGAGCTGCACCACTCCTGGCGGAGGGGCATGTGGCTATGACCTTGGAGATGTTAGCATGGAGGCGAAGAGTTCGATGCTTGATGGGGATATGGATCGAACTCGGTACCCATCTTGTTCCGACTTGGTGCAAGACTTGGAGGGCTGGCACGCGAACTATTCGACAGCGGAAGGTCAGGAGGAAGCGCCGGCCGAGGGCAAGGCCACCGAGGTGGTCAGCCGGAGGAAGCGGCCACGCACCAAGGGCATCAAGAACAAGGAGGAGGTGGAGAGCCAGAGGATGGTCCACATCGCTGTGGAGCGCAACCGACGTAAGCAAATGAACGAATACCTCGCCGTGCTCCGATCTCTGATGCCTCCCTCCTATGTCCCAAGGGTAATAATGCGCACTCTGCTTCCTCCTCTCATACCTTACGCTCGCTCCATCTTCATCGGTCTCTAAAACTCCGCAGCAAGCCACGTGAGGTAACACTGTAATATATATAATGTACCAAAACACTACAGGGTGATCAAGCATCGATCGTTGGGGGCGCAATCAATTACGTTAAGGAACTTGAGCAACTCCTGCAATCGATTCAAGTGCAGAAGCAACTCGAGCAGCGAGCAGACACTGATGGGTTCGCTTCTCCTTTCGCCGACTTCTTCAACACCCCACAGTACTCGTCCTGCTCCTTTAATGGGGGTACTATCAGCAGGAACCAGAATGGTGTCGCCAACGTCGACAAGGACTACAGCGGTAACGAAGTTATGGTGGTGAAACGGTCAGCCATGGCGGACATTGAGGTGACGATCGTAGAGAGCCATGTCAACCTCAAGGTGCTCTCGAGGCGGCACCCCAAGCAGCTGTCGAAGCTGTTGACATGGCTGCAGAATCTGCGGCTCACGCCACTGCACCTGAATGTAACCACTGCCAATGAGAGGGTTCTCTACTCCTTCAGTCTCAAGGTACATAAGCCTCTAATTTACTCTCTCTCTCTCTCTCTCTCGCTGAGCCGCAATCTTAACGTTCATGTGCTGGTATATACTGTTGTTTAGGCAACCTAATGGACTGTGTTCTCTTCAGTTCTCATGAGCACTATACTGCACATTTGGTTGGCAGGTGGAGGATGACTGCTCATATGCTTCAGTGACTCAGATTGCAGCTGCTGTATGTGAAATGATAGGGAGGATTCGAGAAGAGAACATTGGACTGTCTTAATCCCTTCCACATGTAATTATATTCCATTGGCCTATCATTTATATATGAATTTCCATAAAGATGTATAATTTCATGCCTTCTCTTTTCTCTTTGTAGAATAATCTTATTTTAGTCTGAGTTTGTAGCGCATGTAACTTTTAATCTAAGGTGAAAATAAAATTTGTAGGCTATGATAATATCACATCCTTCGTGAGCCAAATTTGTAGATTTTAAATATCTTTCTTAGAGTTATAGAGTTTCTTATTTCTGTCTTCTGTTTATAAGAGTCTTGAAGGAACAGGTTGTGATGTAGGAAGCCTGGCATTGTAATTTTGCCATTTTTTAATTGTCTTAAGCTCACACACACACACACAAAAAACAACTTATAATTATTCTTTTTCCTCCTCTTCTTCCTTTCAGATATGCTCTTTTCTCATTTAGAGAAGAAAAGATTGTGCTGTTTTAAGGCTGCTATCTCTTTGTTCTAACAAAAAGACAACTTGGTCATCTAAAATCCAGAGCAATTTCATGACTGATCCATCTTTGCTCAAATAATGCTACGCTGTTTGGGCAAAAAGGCTTCAATTCAGACTCCCGTGTTGCAGATGGATACAGTGATTGATTCTGATCGCTGACTTGCAATGCTACTGTTGATCGCTCGAGGCTACTGTTCCTTTTTCCCTCCCTGGAGACTCACTCGCTCCGGAGAGAGTTGTACGAGTCAGATGAAGTTTCGGATGAAGAAAGAAGAGTTAATAGGAGCGAGTGAGTTGCTGTGTTTAATTTACTCTTTTTCTCTTTGGTGCCTCTGCTTGCCATTAAACATAAAAAGAGAGATGATTACCGAGTTAACAATATCAAATATGTTAGTATAATTCTTACATAGCTCCCACATAACCTATAGAGTTTCCGAACACATTATTAAGGCGTTGATTGATGATGTACACATCAGATCTGCTAATGCAACAGATCCAGTTTCAAGGATGTGATCGCCGCTTGTGTCCGTCCATTCTGCCATGCAAAAATAATAACAACAATAACGAGGAACGCCCCAACTAAGTCTCCGTACATGAAGAATACACGAGTCCACAATCAACTTAGGCTACACTAATAAGTCTTCCTGACCACCACGTACAGATATATATATATATATATAGACATATATAGACATATGTAATATGGACATGTATACATCTAGAGTGCATCCAATCAGTAGGATTGGTGGACAGACCTGAGGTGTGAATAGCACTCATCGCTACTTCTGAAGGAACTTATGCATACCCAGCAGATGTGCCTTCCGCACCTGCACTCCACATGGTTGCAACCTTCAGTCTTCTCGATGGTAAGCCCACAGCTAGGGCAGTTGTTCACGTTTTCCTTCCCCCTACACCATTCTGCCAGCGAGAGGTCCGGGTCTTCCTTGTACTCCATGTACCTCTCACAAGATACAAAGGGATGGTACTCGAGATGGCACTTCCTGCATGTCTCCGCTAAGCAAGCCCCGCAGATGAAAGGCCCAACCTCCTCTTCCAGGGGCGCAACACGGTATAAGTTGGGGCAGTCAGGTGTCGGACAAAACCGATAGGTCCCATCGCTGGATGCCACGAATGCACTCAACGAAGCTCTGAAGAGCTCTTCCAGCTTCTCGAATGATAACAGAGATCTGAGATCTATGAGCAGGATTAGCTTCTGGCACCCCACCTTAGTGCAACAAAGGGGGAAACCATCACGTGATCTTATGGTCGATTCAAGTTGATTTTCCAAGCAAGCTCGACAAAATGTATGCCCACAAGCTTCGAGTTTGTAAGGATCCTCCAGCTCGCATAAGCATATGGGGCAACAGGATTCTGGTGGCCTCTCAATTACCCTATTTTGATTGATGGATAGCGCCACCTCAGAGATCAGGTCTTCGACCCTTTGCTTTAGTTCTTTGTCTCCTCGAACGTAGAGGGTATGGCGTCGAGTACTGAGAGTTACCTCGGCTCCAGGCACATTTTCCTTGAGCCCCTGAAGATCTGACCCAAACCTCTGCACCACCTCTTTCATCAGGTTTGGTGGGAGGCTGCGCCCTTGGAGGGGGATCTCAAGTAGCTTGTTCTCATGGAGAGTTAGCAGTGAATGGACCAAATTCTTCTCAGCCGCAGATACTTCCTTTGGGGGACCAAACACTCTGATGTTCAAGTTCTGCCGGTCATACAGAACGTAAGTTCCAGTCTCTCGCTCCACAGTTTTTAAACATGCAACACCATCCCGGGAAAAGAGAAGCTGCAGCACTGCTGGGGTGAGGCTTGAATGAGTTATCGTTTTGCCTTGTGTCAACTGCTCCAGAGGTCTCCTCAAATCTACAATATTTTTAGGGGAATTTGCAGATATCTTTACTCTATAAGAACCATTATCATTTTGCTCTAGGTTGTAGGACACACCTGCAGCATGACACAACCAGCTGAAAGCTTATATATTGCAACTGAACTTTGAAGCTAACTGGATAATACAAGTAACACTAAGCAGTTACAACAAGAGATACAAGTCCATTCCTGAGAGGTTATTATATCCAAACATTAATTTCCAAAAGGTTTTCTTTATCCACAGAAGGAAGAACTCTCAAGAAGATGAAACTTGCCCAGAATGAGAATCCAAAGCAGGAAAAAATTTGAAAACTTATTACTTCACAAAAACAAAAGCTAACCAAGAAATGACAAGTTAAAAACACCAAATTACTAAGGAAATATTTTTAACTTGTGGAACCAGTGATTAAGTAAAGGAGTTCTATTAGCAAGCCATCATGAAGTAATATGGCATGTAGAAATTTAGTGCTATTACACAATGAAGTCTAGAATAATTTGTTATCATTTTGGTAAAGAGAATTGATGTACTGAGACAAGTTAAACAGGACAAAACTACCACGCACTATAAGCTTGAAATGCCATGTTGAAAGAAAAATAAAATCTACATCTCTTCTGAGGCTGGAAGTTGATAAATAAGCCACTTATGCAGCACAAATTAATAGTTCAAAGGATCCCCAAGAGGCTATTGGAAGCCGAATTTAAAAATTAATAGCTAAGGTCAAGTGCTAGTTCTTGACAAAAATAATATACACATATATACTCATCCTCTTTCCATCATCCAGGTATTTCAACACTGCTGATTACCCACTTTCAGTTTTCTTCCCATTTGCTGAAAATTTTCACCACATGAACCAAATCTAACAGTGCACCAACACTGTTGCAAATTAGAATATGCAGGTGCCCTCCACTGCTTCTTTTCTCTTTCCATCCCTAAGACTTGTCGTTTCGATCTTTCAGAAAATGGCCATCCAGGGATCTATCATCCAAAGATGCATTCACAAGGAAAAGAACTTGAAGACTTCTTTATGTCCCTTTTACCAATTTGTCATTTACCTTGGCCAACATCATCGTCAACAATAATAGAACTAAACTACCAATGGTTTATAATGCATGGCAAGTTCTTCAAACAGGCATCAAACAGTGATGCTCGACCCTTTCAAAGACATTAAACATATCCTGATTTACTTTACAGTAGCCAAATTATTCTCTTGCATAAGACAATCTTCCAATCATATATTTCTCTGGCCTTCCTTCTCTTTAATGCAAAGCTTTGGGTCCAGAAATTCATATCTGATTGACACACAACATTATCAACTAGACCAAATCCTAACGTCAAGACAATTATGAATTATGTGAATGTGAGTGAAGTATGACTTTTCAGTAATATTTTTCAGATCTCAACGGAGTCCAGGTGAATGTCATCCATTAGCACGTACATGTTAGTTGAGATACTCCATGAAAACAACCAGAAAAGTTCATTCTGAACTGTGCCAAACATTATGACCTTCTGGTTTTTTTGCAGCAATCTCAAAACCACCATGTTCTACATCCTAAGAAGCACATTTCAAATAAATTATTCCCATGTTAGCTGGGGGTCTACTCTATTAAAAAGATAACCTACATCAGCAACACAAATTTAAGAAGACCAGAAAAAATATAGTACTTTTCCACCCTCAATGGCATGGTAAAATTGGTTCCAGTCCAGAACTCAAACTAGAAAGCAGCACTCTGAGCAATCCTTTGATTCTAGAAGGCCGCAATAAATATTATAACATGGCAATCATCTCAATAACTTTTGCCACCTATGTACCAAAATCTAGAACTACTACAAATATCTAGAGGTTCTACAGACTCAACTGTCAACAAGAGCAGATCGCATCAGAACTGCTGACTAATCACGGTCTGATACATCATGAGCTAACAGTCCATTCCTACATAGACATCAAAAGTAGGTGCAATAAGGGAGTGAATAAGTGTTTAAAATAATGGATCTGATGATGTTTTTGTCCTCTGATGGCTTATAAGCATTATGGACTATAAAAGACTTCCTAGAATGATTTACTCACTATGGAAATTATAATACATGCCAACCACTTCAAAGATAAAGCATTAATCACAAGAAAATTCTTAAGAGAAATAGTTGGTGTCTAACTCAAAAGCACAGGAAGAATACAATCTTCTAGGCCAACTAATTTATTGATCAACATCAAGTCAAGTACTTCTGGTGCACTTGGGAATTGGGAACGCATTTGAAATATGCATTGATCGCCCATTACACATTTTAAATGTGAATTGATGTTTGATAATTTTTTTTCAAATTGCATTTGGCCTAGATGTTACATTGCAAATGCTCAAATGCTAATGTTACTTTATTTGGCCTGGATGCTGTATTTCAAATGCTTAGATACCAATGCCACCTTAGGGCATTTCAGCATTTTGTCAGATATTAGTGAAAATTTTCAAAATTTTCTAAGTACCCTGTGACATTATCTAAAATCATTTCCTCTCCCCTTTTCTCAATTTTTGTCATCGTTAATATGATATTTTATTTATTTATTTTTAAAGGATATTTTATATTAACTGGACCATACGAAATTTTTGTAAAATGACATACATTCATTTATTTATTTTATTTATTTACATAATTTAAATAAAAAATATGTATTCACATTTGAATACATATTAAAAATATTAGAAAGGTAAATTTGTCATATAATATTCAATGAGTTTTTGAAATATAATTTTACTAAACAATACTAACGTCAATGCACATTTAAAATGTAATTTCGTATATTATTTACCAAGCACTCAAAGCATTGCACAACTGCACATTCATTCAAATCTCTTTCTCCAAATCCATATTAAAAATACAAATGTGTTTCCAAACACACCCTTCCTCAATTTGCTTTATTGTATTTATTTACAATTACATGCATCATTCAGCAATAGGATTTCAAGCTTCATTTTAATTTAATCATTTATCATTTGTTCCTTGCTCGTATGTGATATAGCTTCCAAATCTAAGTGAATCAGTTAGCAATTTGTTATAATCTTGATAACCAATACTGTCATTGTTCATGTATATAATTTCTTTTTCAAAAAACCAACTACCCAACTAAAAAGTGCTACACAAGTTTTCATCTATAAACTTTTTTCAATTATTAAGTGGATAAGTACAAAGTTGTACATCTATTGCAGATAACTCGAACATAAATAGAGCTAGTTGCTCAAAACCCAATATGAATTGATGAATGTTATCATATTAAGCAATCTATTTAGCAAGCTTCATCTCCAAGACATTATGAATTTAGATACTCTTCCATTTTCCACTATGTTCACTTCCAGAATCTAATTATCAAAACTTTGAAAAATCTTTGAGATTGATAACCACAAAAATAGTTATTTAGAAGAGCATATTGAAATCACTTCAATAGACGATAATATGAGAAAAAATCATTTATGATGGTATGGACATGTACGTAGGAGATCTCCATATATGATAATCAGAAGAGATGAAATAATTAATGCTAGTAGTATGAGGAGAGGTAGAGGAAGACCTAAAAGGACCTTAATAGAAATTATAAATAATAATTTAAGTACTCTGAACCTAACCAAACATATAACTTTTTACATATCTCAATAGCACCAAAAAATCCATGTAACTGATCCCAAATAGTTGAGATTTACGATTTTGTTATTTTTGTTGTAGAAGAATACATTGAAAAATATTATTTTCTTCCTCCTAAGTCAAAACATGTAGATGGAATAAGAAACATTGATATACAAGAGTAAATTATCAAACAGAAGTACATACATACCCCTTTGGCATCTGAAACTTTCTAGTAGTGAATCCAGTTGTTTCCTGATAGCACAATAGACACGTGAAGGAAAAGACAAAGAGCTATTAAATACTTGTTGGCATTGTATCTTCTGCCACGTCTCAAAACCAGGCAATACTTTCCCTTGGATGTGATTTAAAGCCTTTTCAGCCTCCAGATGCAGACTTCCATCAAATGTAATCATAGCTTTCATGGTGAAATCCTTTGGTTCAGGTTTGAATACTTCGACCCTGAAATTATTGTCAGAAAAATGCTTGTGAGTCATAAAAGGAGAAATTTCTTTAATAAGTGCTTCTGCACATGTAGCAATTGGTGGGTCAGCAACTGCCATTCCTCGTGCAAGGTGAATGCCAAGGATTCTCCTCTTTGTCAAACCTAGAAGAGCATCACGGAGTTCTTCTTCCGATATGTCTCTGGGAACTCCTGTTAAAAATACACAATTCTGGCGTTTTTGGCTGACCTGAATGTTAATATACCTTCCTCCAATTGTCAAAGCAAAACAGTCCCTAACAATATATTCAGCCTCTCCATCTGCACACGTGACAAGTGCAATTCCCCTGCAAGGCCTCCTTGGCCAAGAGACTTTGACTCTTACTGCAGAAAATGGTGTCACCTTCGGTTCAACTGCTTTGATGGGCAGTGCTCTAATCATGGACCCACAAAACTCCACCTCGTTCAGCTTGGTGACAGCATTTTCAGCAATTTCAGGACTAAGGAACGTTATCCTTCCCCATTTATTCACATATGATCCCTCTTGTCCAGTCCCTCCATATTTTTGAAAATTAGCTATTCCACACGCATACTTCTCAACCATCACCAGAAGTTCCTTGTCATTTAGAGAAGATGAGTTTGGATGCAAAATTTCCACAGTCAAATATCGTTTTTCAAGCTCCAGATGCTTAATTTCAGCACCAGAGCCAAAGAGAGCCAAAGAAGAGGAAATACCAGGTCGGCCTGGAAATAAACGTTTCTCAATACACTCATTTCTCAAGCATTTTTTTTCATACTCCAGGGCATCCTTAACAATACTAGCCACCTGCTCTATATCTTTTTCTGAAGCATATACATGAACCTCACTTTTACTAAAGTCAATATCTATACTGATTCGGTTATCTGAGCAAACATTTTGAGTGTGCAAAATTAACCTCTGTAAGTTTTGGTTTGACTTTCCACAAAATCTTTTAAGCAAATTATTGCCAACTCCAGATATCACATCCATCAGCATCTTCCGACTTTCCAACTGATACAAATCAAATAGAGGAGGCTGAATCATGCACAAGTCATCAAAGTCAACAGCAGTTACACAAACCAAATAGTCAGTCAATGATGACAAAATCTCCCCAAACACCACCCAATCTGGCCTTTTCCCGTAGACTAACAATGAGCTTGATGGATGAAGTTGTATGCGTTGACCAGTTAAAGCCACTTCATAACCAAGTTGATTGCGTCCAGAGAACATTGCAACATTCTCTACAAGAGATGAAAGTATGACCTTCTTCAATAATTTATCATAACAACTTGGTTCATCTGGGTTCCATAACCAGTAACTAGGAACAATAATGTTGAGCTCATGCTGGAGACAGCTTTCCAACTCTGATACAGCTTCCTGACATCTCCTCAGTGACTTTGCATTGATGCTATTCCGCCAACACCAATTCCTATTTACAGGCTCACCCTCCCATTTCTTGTAAACAGAGAGAAGAGTGAAAAGGTCTCCATCATGATGGCAAAATGGAACCCTAAGACAGTCAGCTCTATATTTATCCTCTTCGCTACCAACTCTACAAAATATACTGCTAGCATTCGGCATTATAGTGGCAAGGATGATACCCTCCTTCCTCAAACCATGATCAAAACAACCAAGAATTATTTTCCCTAGCCGTGGCTCAATACCCAATTTCACTAAATACCAACCAGTCTCAGTAAGTTCATATGCATCAGTTTTGTGTGTAACAGCACCCAAATGGATTAGATTCTGAATTGCTACTTCAGTAGCCTTTGGACATGGAGCATCAACAAACTCGAAGTCTTGAACGTTCTTAATACCTAAAGCAAGGATTCTCAACACAGCAATTCCAAGGTGCACTTTACGAATTTCAGGTTCCTGATGCATTTTCATTGCCTGAAAATCAGATTCTGAGTAAAGCCTGAAACACTTACCCGATTCTGTTCGACCTGCTCGGCCAGCTCGTTGGTTAGCAGAACTTTGGCTGATCCTACTAACCTTAAGCACATTCATACCAGAGCTAGGTTCAAACCTGCTTTCTTTGACCATGCCAGAATCAACAACATACTTAACACCTCTGATAGTAAGTGATGTCTCAGCTATGTTAGTGCAGAAAATAATTTTTCTCTTGCCAGGGTAATTTTGAAAAACATGTCTTTGTTCAACAAAAGAAAGCTTTCCATGCATTGGCAGCACAATGGCAGTGGGATCAGTGAAGTTTTCACAAGCCCATTCTACTTCCATCTGAGAAGTCAAAAATGCTAGGATACCACCATCTCCCTCTGTCTTATGAATCATGTTCACCATCTTTAAGACATCAGAGGCATATGAAGCACACTTTCCAGAGAAGTCCTTCACAACGGCAGATATATCAGGAATATATTTGATTTCAACAGGAAAGTTTCTTCCCTTGACATATAAGGTGCTGCAACTGTAAAAATAGCCTGAGAGTCTGCTTGCGTCAACTGTGGCAGACATTATTATAAGCCGTAAATCTATATTCTCAAGCAGCTTCCTCTTAATCAATGCCAAAAGCAGATCAGTGTTCAAGCTTCTTTCATGTGCCTCATCTATAATAATGCATGAAATATGGGGCAAACCTGTACCTTTCATAAAATGCTGCAAGAGACAGTGATCTGTCATAAATATCAGGCCCAAGCCAAATTCCTGAAAGGATGAATAGGTAGGATAGGAGTGCACAAAATTGTTGGAATAGCACCCATTGGCTTCCTCTCCAACCCTTTGTGCCAAAGAGTTCACCGCAATTTTACGAGGTTGAGTGCACACAACAGCTCCATCAGCACCTAGTCCTGAATCAGCAAGAAACTGGACCAGTTGAGTACTTTTCCCTGAACCAGTCTCTCCAATCAAGACCATGACCTATGAGAACCAAAGAATAAAATTATAAAAATATTTTTCAGTCCTTAACTAGTTTTGGCCAAAAAAAAAAGGGAAGTCCATGATTCTACTTGAAGTAATCATGAAAGTAGATCTGAAAATGCTATTTATTCAAAAATAAACTATACAAAGTCGAATTTGAATAGGTATTGATATACCAATAACTAGATGAACTGCAAAGTAGCTAAGCCAAAATTTACAAGAAAAGCAACATTGTAGCAGTCAAACTATTGAAACTTCCATGAGTGGCAATATTTGTTAAGAATAAGAACACTCTTATCATGCCAACTGCCAAACCCAGCAGCTCAACAAGACATTTTATATACAGCTATGTACCACGAAACTTGAGAACTAGTAATAAGTACCCCAAGAACTAGTATTAATTATCCCGAATGAAGAACTGGATATGGTTGTCTTTATGAATGTTTGTTGGGTTGGACTTATGATGTTGCAGATGTTAGAATTAATGATAAGAGCAGAACCACCAAACTAGTTAAAGAACTTAAAATTTTAGCCGACCCCAAATAGTTGGGACTTATGGCTTTATTGTTGTTGTTGTTGTACATTCTGGAAAAGTCATATGTTGGCAAACCATATGTAAGAACATGCCATATAAATTTTGTTGATAAGAAAGCCATATATCTTAAGTTATAACAAGTCGAACATGGAAAATAATGGAAGCATCTAACATCAGATGGTATTGTCATGTTCTATCTCTACCTTTCTATCAGTAACAACATCCACCCAGTTCACAATAATAATGATGTCATAAGGCTACAGCCACCAATATATAGAAAAATGTAACAATGATGTTATCATGTTATTGCAATTACATAAGTATGATAAAACCCTAGGGTTTTATCATAAAAGAAATGGGAGAAAAGGGAATGATCACTTCGAGGGGATCGGCCTCCTAAGGTTTGTCAAAAGACCGAATAATATTTCATTGATTGATGAAAAGAAACAGATACATCCCTATTTATAGAGTTCCACCCAGAGTCCACCAGGACTTGGACTCTTAATAATAAATAAATATTAAATATACTCCTATCAGACTCTAAGTACGGTCTCCACTTCTTGATAGTGTAAGCAATAGGTCGGTCTTTCAGTGTATTAGTCATTACAATCTTCTGGAGAACCCTCTCTATCCGATAGCTAGTGGTAGTTGTGACCTTACTTCTGCGTCTTCCTTTTAGATCATCTACTTTCCATTAATAAAAAATTTCATGATTTGTTTAGAAAAATTTCAAGAAACATCACCCAGGGTTGATAGTCATAAAATTCCAAGCATCACTTCGAAGTCTTCCAAGGGTAGTAAAAATAAGTCCACAAGCAACTCTTGGCCCTGTATAATCAATTTTATCTTCGAACATTTGCTATTACAAGTTAAAATTCATTCATCAGTGACCTTTACTTCGAATTTGTCACAGCCTTCAATGTGGTAGGCCAATCGGTCAACAACCTTACTGTCCATAAAATTGTTAGTACTACTAGTATCAATCAAAACTGTAACATGCTGATGTTCCAAAGTTCCTTCAACTTTTATAGTTTGCGGGTTAGAGTAGCTTGCTAATGCATGCACTGTATGTATGATAGGTCCAACATCTCCACCAGAATCCATACCTTCATGATCGGAGTCTACATTGTTAGCTTCTGGTTCCTCCCCAATTGGTTCAATCATTAAAAATTATCCTTGTTTACATCGGTGCTCCCTACTTCACTTTTCATCACAATGCCAGAACAAATCTTTCATTGATCTTTCCTTGAGTTCTTCTCAGGTTAGTCTTCGGGTGTTAGGGTTTCGGTTGGGAATAAATGGTATAGGTGGCTTGCTAATCATCTGTTTGTTGTCACTTCTGTTTCGACGATTTTTCCTACTGATTTTTTCCTCATGCAAACGTGCAAATAAGATTGCAGCTATCATAGTGCGAGGTTGGCAAGCTTTGACTTCACACCGGATATCTAAATTAAGTCCTTCAATAAATGTTCCCACTAGTTATCATTCGGACCAATCTCTGACTTGATTTGACAATCGTTCAAATCTGCTCTGATATTCTAGCACTGTAGAAATCTGATAAATTTTAGCAAGCTGCCCATTAACATTCTCATATTCATATGGTCTAAAGCGAATAAGAAGCCATCTCTTGAATGACTCCCACGAGGAGACCCCGTGGCAAGTTTCGTACCAATCATATCATTGGATTGCATCTCCATCTAGTTGGATTGAAGTTGTTTCCACCTTGGATTCTTCTGGAGTTCTATGAAAACGAAAAAAATTTTCTGCCCTAGAAATCCAACTGGTCGGATCTCCATTTTCGCATCTTGGAAATTCCACCTTCATGCGGGGGTAGCTTACATCCTGTTCTTGGTTCCTTTTTCCGGTGTCTTCAGGTCGATTCAACATAAGACTTGAACTTTCATCTTGTTGAAGCTTGCTAAAGCTCTCTAGTAGGCTCTTTTTGAAATCATTAAGTGTTTCTTGCATCCAGTTCTCAATTCTGGTTTCCAAAGCTTCTAGTTGAGCTTTCACTGAATTATTGATAGCCATTGTATAGGACTGTAGATCTGTAATCCCCAATTGTTGTTTCTGTTGTCTAGTCAAGGGCATCAACACTGCCCTATTTGGTGCAGTTGTTGTGAAGCTTATGTTGAGGGCGTGAGGAATCACGACGCTACCGAGGAAGCGGACGCCGAGAGTAGCTTGAGGGCTCGCTGCAGTCGTCATGAGGAGGATGCTGCTGCTGAGGCTGGGAGGCAGCGATGGTGGCACAGTTGGGAGCAACGTTGAGGGTGTAAGGGATCATTACGAGGCTACTGAGGAAGCGGATGCTGAGAGCAGCGTGAGGGCTCGTTGCGGTCGCTGCGTGCGTGGCTAGAGGCAAAAGCGTCGTCACAAGCGGTTGTGGCCCAAGGGGAGGCAGCGAGGGTCATGACTGGGAGGCGAGCGATAGTGGTCGCTGGCCGGGAAGCAGCGACGACGACCCTTTCTCGTCGAGCAGGATGTTAAGTTACCCGCCCACGAGGAGGGATGGTCAAGCAGTTATGGCTGCGACCCAAGGGGAGGCAGCGAGGGTCGCGATTGGGAGGCGGGCGACAGTGGTCGCTGGCCGGGAAGCGGCGACGATGGTGGTTGCTGGCCGGGAAGTAACGACGGTGGCCCTTTCTCGCCGAGCAGGATGGTGAGTTGCCCGCCCACGAGGTATGGTTGAGCGGCTGCAACCCAAGAGGTAACGAGGGTCGTGGCTGGGAGGCGAGCGATGGTGGACTCTAGCCGGGAAGCAACAGCGGCGACGGTCGCTAGCCGGGAAGCAGCGACGACGACCCTTTCTCGTCAAGCAGGATGGGGCGCACTGCCCTCACGCTGCTCTCGGTTGGGAGGCGCGCTGTTGGCAGCGCCATCTCAGGCGAAGGCGCGATTGAGGCGGCTGTAGAGATGTCGAGGACCACGGTTGGAAAACAGAGGCTGGGAAATAAAGGCCGTTGAGGACCGCGGCTGCTTCTTTTTTTTTTTTATGATGGCTGCGGCAAAGTGTTGTGAGAAATTACAGCGAGAATGCCGAGGATCGTTGCTCTGATACCAAATGATAAGACCCTAGAGTTTTATCATAGAAGAAAGGGGAGAAAAGGAGATTATCACTTCAAAGGGATCAGCCTCCTTGATCACTTTGAGGGGATCGGCCTCCTAGGGTTTGTCAAAAGACTGAATAGTATTTCATTGATTGATGAAGAAAAACAGATATATCCCTATTTATAGAGTTCCACCCAGAGTTCACCAGGACATGGACTCTTAATAATAAATAAATATTAAATAAACTCCTATCCGACTTTTACTGAACTAACATTATTCATAAGCTCATAAAATAAAAGGATCCTAACAAAGTCATGATGATGACAATGGCGAGTGAGAGCAAGAAACCAATTGACAAACTGAAGTTCAAGAGCAAAGTCATGACACAGAGTAAGGCAATAATGTAAAATGTACAAGCAAGATTAACAAAGGCTCATACGATCAAACTTTTTGGCTACTCAAGGAGAAACCCTGCTATCTGCAACAATCGTTAAAAGGTCTTTGGTTCATGTTGAACATTTCATTTGACAAATGATTGTGACCTTCAAGCATAAGATAAAATAAAAAATGATCCTCTCCTTTTTGGACCGTCCTATATAACAAGTTGCCATAAAGCCCTAATTAATTACTCAATGCCAAGTAGAAATATGAGCCAATTAGACAGAATTTACTTACAAGACCCGCTCAAAAAATAAAATGACTTCAAACAGCATAATAGATTCTCATATGATTTATACATATTAGTAAAGTATATGAGAATGCTTAGTGAAAGAAAGATCATGATTCATGTGATTCACATAAACAAAACAAAAGCTATAAATTAAGCCACAGAGATATATCATCAGGTAGAAATTTCATAATTATTCCCTTCCCTTGACCAGAAATATGAACCAATTAGACAGACGTTACTTACAGGACCCGCTCAAAAAATTAAAATGACTTCAAACAGCTTAATAGATTCTCATATGATTTATACATATTAGTAAAGTATATCAGAATGCTTAGTGAAAGAACATGATTCATGTGATTCACATAAACAAAACAAAAGCTATAAATTAAGCCATAGAGATAGATCATCAGGTAGAAATTTCATAATTATTCCCTTCCCTTGACCAGAAATATGAACCAATTAGACAGACGTTACTTACAGGACCCACTCAAAAAATACAATGACTTCAAACAGCATACTAGATTATCAAATGATTTCTACTTAGTAGTAAAGTTTATCACAATGTTTCGTGAAACAAAGATCATGATTCACAGAAACCAAGAAAAATCTATAGATTAAGCCACAGAGATAGATCACAGAACTATTACTTTCCCTTCACCAGAAATTTGTGTTACATTAACCAGAACCCAACCCACCCACCGCCCCCCCCCCCAACAAAAAACAAAAAAATTATCAACACAGAAAGAGTGGATACAGGTTAATAAGATTCTGTCAAACTCCACTAGGTTACAACTAATAGAACAAAACATAATGAAAATGATAACCTGATTGGAGAAAATGCGTGAAAGAATTTTCCTCCTGCATGAATAGATTGGTAAACCCTCCTCGAGCCTCCTGCATTCCCTCTGCATCAATTGGCAAATCTGGTTCCAATCCAATTTGTCTCCGAGCTTAAAAATTTTGGCATTCACATCTGCATCCACCCCTCCTTCTTCCTCCTCAGCAAAAGCCTTTTCTTGTCGTTCACCAAGTCGAGCGAGAAGGCATTCCATGGCAGCATGGAACTCGGACAACCGGCCCTTCAGCTGTTTCCTTTCTGCCTCCAGCCTCGTCCTCTTATCCCTCAGCTCAGTGAACTTCACCAGCCGATTATGGCGACTTAGCAGCACCGACACATTCTTGATCTCATCCGAGACCTCATCGATTCTCCGCTCACAAAGTCTCACACCTTGATACTCGAGAAGCCCCTGAATGTGGCCACAAAAGAGGGTCTTAAGGCGGCCCTTCTCCTCAGCGTCATTATAGGGCGGGGCATCGGGGGCCGGCTCGATGACGGGGGTGAGGGGGTGGGCTCCGTCAAGACGGCGGCCCCAGAAGAAGAGGGAGGCGTCGACGGCATCGGCGTGGAGATCGTAAAAGAGCCGCCCAGCGACGCGACCGGAGTTGATGGCGAACTGGGCCGGGGGGAATGGGCAGGAGGCGACGAGGTCGTCCACGTCGGCGAAGGCGACGGCCCTGCGCACGGCGGGGGTCGAGCAGAGCAGGAGGACGGCGAAGGCCGGGCGCTGACACCGGGGCAACGGCCGCCGCTCCCGCCAGGGCGGAGGCCCCTCCACGCGGTGATCAGGGAACACGAGCCTCCTCATCTGGCGCCCGGCAACGTCGACGATGACCCGAGAAACCCTAAGAGCGAGAGTTGGTGTGTCAGTAGGCGCGCGAGCGCGAGCGAGAGCGAGAGCGAGAGAGAGAGAGAGAGAAATGGATGCGGGAGCGGAGGAGGCTGGCTTTAGGATTCGGTGGTGCCTCGATTGAGACTCCGTTCCCTGGTTAGTTCGATCAAAAGAGATTCGGATACCCTGTTGGCTTCGCTACAAACAAATGTTTTAACAATCTCCATATTGACCGTGCACTCTGATCTTGAGGTAATCTCAACCCTCCGTGATTCAAGCCACAGGATCTCGGAGTTTTGCGGAGCCTGGACCGAATCCCGGGCGGGAATAGAAAACGTTGAACCGGACCGGTTGGCCGCTTGGTGGTCATATTTTTCACAAAAAGCCCTGAGAGTTTCATATTTATAACTGAGACGCTTCATTTTTAATTGCCATTTCAGCAGTTAACAGCAGTTACTCTAATGAGTTGAATGAGAAGGCATTTCTGCTATTGAATATAAAAGAAGAAAAAAGTTCAAAATTTGGGAGTGGAATTAATTCCTCTTTTGATAGGAACTTCAAATCGAGCAGTTTCGAGGGATTGTAAGATCGAAGGATGCATCTCTCGTAATCCATGATTTGCAAACCTTATGACACTGATTATGTACCAAACTATTTATTATGTATACTGCCAATATATGTAAACTTACTTATATAATGTACCAATAAATCCGTTTTTATTCATAACCCAAGAAGAAAAATGTCGTGTAATTATTTATATATACATGAGGTTTTTGCCGACACAATGCCTAGGTTAATTAATGTACATAACCTCATTAAGTAACGTACATAAAAACTTATTAGATGTATCATTACCTATTATATAATTAATTATATGCACCTGCCTCCTACTAATATAAATAATCTTGAGAATGTCAATTAATTATTTCGAAAGAATTTTGTGTCTGGATATTTACAAAACCAAAATTGTTTTGTAATTTTGTGAATCAGACTCTTGCCAAATATGGTGCTTAACATCATCTCACTACTAATGTACAAATAAAGATAATGCACTATATATGGACAAATTACTTATTATATTTAAATCTTATACAAACTAATGTATCTACTTTCCTACGATAAATTAGCTACCCAACAAATACATGTCTGATAAATTAGCTACCATAAAAACCAAACTTATTTGTGTTATCATCTGCAATATATATATATATATATATATATATATATATATATATATATATATATATATATATATATATATATATCATTTAACTTAGCTGGTAAAATTTTTGACTACCTGTTTTCATCACTTATCTTCGAAAAAAAGAAAACATAATTGTCTAAAAGGTTACAGTTAAAGTATTGGGCATCACCCAAGGGGGGGCTATTTGTAATTTGATGCATTCTTTTCACAAGGTGAACAGTGCCCCCCTTTACACCATTTTGACTGGTGGAGGTACATTTTTGGAGCCAAGTAGCAGAAAGAAGAGGTGGGTTTGATGAAGCAATAGATTGTGCAGTGTGGAGTTAAACCTATGCTGCTCACCCATCTCTGATTTGTTTGGTGTCCGAGCTCGAGTGTCGCCACAGTTCATATAAACTTTGAGATCCCATGTGGGAGAATAAACTACGGTTCGCAAAGGCACAGCCTCCTTCGGACCGGAGACGAGTCGGGAAGTGCTGCTATTAGTGCCTTCATAAGTTCAAGCTAATAACATCAGAAGAGACTAATTACCATTCCCCGACTATAAAATCCCTCCACAAATACATCATCAGATCAAAATGATTACATCATCATCAAATCAAAATTATATGATATGTATCAAAATTAATAATATTTTGCATAACTGTATGAATTTAGAGAGTCTCATCCAAAAACTCACTTCTTCTAAGCTTTATGAATACTCTGTCTTCGGTTACTCCCAAGTGATGCACTTGAACATCTGCTACAAGTTAGAATGTGTCAAACTAATATTTTTCATGTCCATCTCTTGAGATGGCCATGCCATTAGAGCTATGCTTTCTAGTCGTGTAGATAATCAAATTTTAATGGCAGGTTGTGTCATACCCATAATAATGACACGTAATAATCTAATTACTTTGCCTTCTATGACTATGGACATTTACTCAAATGAGTATATATATATATATATATATATATATATACATAAAATAGAGAAATCTTTCGGAAGAAGTGGTCAAGGAAACACAAATATTTATCACTTTGTTTCACCTATTTGCTTCTCTATTTCAAAACTAAACTTCTTGCATTGACTATCAGAGCATTTTTCTTCTTTGACAATGCTCAAATGTTGGAACTTCAACCAATGGCAATGTCGAAGAAGAAATCTAATCTAAAAAGGAAGACATTGATTGAAGCCACAAACTAACCGTGTTAGTGATTACGAATTTTTTTTCATATGTAGTAGTGAACAAAATTTTTGGAAGATATTGATTATAACAGATCTAGAAAAGATCAATAGATACCACAAAACATTACCATCAAGTATTCAATAGATTTTGTAATGTACTGGTGAGTGGGCTGTTTGTAGTGAAACTCATAACAAAAATATCAAAAATAATGTGCTTTTGTATACCCAAAAAAAGACATTTGTTTTCCCAAACCAAAAGTAGTGGATAACAATTATTTGATTTTGAAGAAAATGCTGTTATAACATGCACAATCCTGAAACATAAAAAGTTTGACCTCATGGTAAAGAATGACACTGCCTTTGTGAGGAAAGACAGTTTATCAATCAGTTAGAAACTCGACTTGGAACAAGCCAAATATATTATTCAGTAACATTTGCAGAAATAAAAGCCTCTTCATCTCTCAATCCAGATAAGCTTACTTTTCTGTAAATCTGGAAAATAACGCCCATTTATAAAGGACCAGGAAAGGTCCCATTTTCTCGTTGCTCGTTCCATCGTTCTACCTGCAAATGATGTACTTATCACTGGATTGATCTTTGTCATTTCAATATCTGTCAGAATCATACAACAACAGAAGTAAATTGTTTCTAAGAGAGTGATGAAAGCTGATAATGCAATCACACTAAAACAATGGTCATGATGCTCTCTTAATATCATATAGTCCTGGTATTCCACAGAGCAATTTAGTTGCGCATAGTTGTTTCAACTATGAGAGGATCCAATTAATCAATTAACACATGGAACCATCAGGTCCATGCAACTCATGGTTAACTGTGTTTTTTTTTTCCCCTCTGAACATTCTAACTAGTTGCAGAGGAACACTTTAATGAATGCTCTAATAAGAAAAATTAAGATAGAAACTGTATCAGCAAAAAATTAGTACAAGGCTGTACCCATGAGATGTACCTTTGGATGTGCAGTGGAACGCTTTCATGAATGTTCTAATAAGAAATAAATATATGCAACTATATGGATAGAAAATAAAGTATAAGGATGTTATCCGTAAGATGTACCTTTGGATGTGCAATTATACATTATTAACCCCAGACCTACTAGAAAAATATTTACATACAGACATATCTCCCCACATGGGCTTATCCTCTTCTAATTATGCTTATGATGCTATTGTGAATCACATAATCTTCCCCATCTAAATGCTCTGTTCCTACAACTCTATAAATCAAAAACTCCACCTCAATGGTTTGACGACAGGACTATGCAGAGAACCCCCATATTGCTATGTACAATTCACTCCCAAACATGCGATTGTCAAACCACATGGAAAGGCATACAAGGTTCTCTGATATCATTTCTCACTAACCCATGCAATCTGCTCCAACAAAAATGAAGATGACCTTAACCCCTAGAACTATTGCATCATTTTTCAATTTTCAGCCAGCTATGCAAATTAGACTAACTTTCACATTGAGTGGACATTTTAGGAAAGTATAATATGAGACTTTAATGTAGAAAACTAAGAGCCTCAAAGATCTTTTGACTACAATTCTATTTTTAACAGTCACAAAAAAATAGTGAAAAAGAAAAACGAAAGATAATACTATCAAAGGAAGAAAAGAGCACACACCCATTCCCCTGGGCACAATGAGCGATAGTACTTTGCAAATTTATTACACTCAGAAGCATCTTCTCCCTTTGCAGCTATGCACCTGTCAAACACCAATTTTGATCACCAATAATATTTATACACCTACAGATCCATAGCTACAGGCCAATAGGTTGTCTCATCCTACCTGTGATATTCAATGTAGCGAGTAAAGCAATGCCTTGTTTGATTTGTTGTTGGGAAACGGAAATCAGCAGGGGCTGTCTCAATCTATAAATTCAACCACAGAGATTCTTTACCAAAACCTTCCATGGATGATTTTTTTTATTTTTGTTTATCGAATATGTAAACCATAATTGCAGATGTTTTAGATATTGAGAAACCAAACCTTTATTTCTGGTTTCTCTTCAACTTGTGGTACTTCTGTCTCTTGTTCTTCAGGAGCTTCACCATTCATCTCTTCAACAGCACTGGTTTCCTCTGCAGAAGGAGTTTGATCACTTTTCTCTGTGACAGCATCTGAAGCAAAACTTTCACCATTCTTCTCTGCAGTTACTTCTTCAGAACTGACATCAGCTGGATTCTCATCCCCATTAGTTTGTTTAACAGAAGCTTCAGTCTGATCTGTCTTCTCTATGTCTTGAAGTGACCATTGCTGCATTTAGTGAGGCATATTAAAGTGGAAAATATAGCCCTTAAACAATGCACGAAAAATAGAAAAAAGAAGCAAAAAACAGATACATCCCGCCTCCATTCTCAGGACAGACCACAAAATGCAGGATGAGATCACTTCTTCACTCAGTTATCTTAATGACTGATCTTGTGAACATTCAAGCATCATGGTCATCATTTATGGTAACTTATCAAGAAACTACAACCAATCACAACATCTTATGCTTGACCATTTAGTATAGACACAAACCATTTTAGGAAGACCACCACTTGAATAGTGCAACAATGCTAATCGGTACGATATGAGATTACAAGATTGGCTTGTCTACTCAAATTCAAGTACCCAGTGCAACACAATGATATATATAAATAAATAAATATATATATATATACGTATATGTATAATATGTATATGTATATGTATATGTATATGTATATGTATATGTATATGTATCCATATGTATGTGTATATGCATATATATATGTATATATATGTGTATATGTATATATGTATGTATCTGGTAATTGAAATATTCAAAAAAACCTAAATGAGAACATCCGAATCCAAACTGGGTCCATATTTAAGAAATATGTTAATCTCAATGCTCTTGTTCTATATTAATAAAGATGGCACCATGGCGACCAAAGGTACATACAAAACATAAGGCTGATTGTCTCAAACAACATTGAAAATGAACTAGCTTCAAACAAGGTCTAAAATTTGCATTTGTAATGTGATTAACACATGTGACACGGGTAATAAGACTCTTGGATCAATCATGCAAAAATAAGGAAAATATGATACATATTTGATCATTAACCTGCATCGTTAGAATGAATAAACTAGAACTAATAATATAAAGGACTTCGACCTAACCTGCAATGATATGAATGGATAAATTAAAATTAATAGTACAAAGGACGTGAAAGTCTAAGTGTTTGCAATCATAACACAGTATCATCCATGTAATAATGAGAATCAAGCAAGTAAACAAACGATACACAAAAGTCATCATTAATCTGCATCATTATTTTTCTTTTATTTCCTGGTGTGATAGGGATTCCAAAGTCCCAGTTTGGTGCCATATGTGTAGCTCTCAACAAATATGTTCTTTGTAGAGTAACAGAAAGCATAAACACTCTCTCTCCATGTTCATATGTAAAATACTAAGGCACACAAAGGTTGCTATATAGACCTCAACATAGACTAATGCAACTTTGTCAAAGGATATCTTGGTTACTGAGTCTATGCAAAATCATGGGTATATAGCTTCCACCCTACTTAATTTTCTGTTTATCATAATCGCCCAGTAGTATAAAGTTCTTGGAATAGAAAAAAGTTAGTGGAATCTTACTCCCATGCATAAACCATGCATCTAAATCCATTAGTCACAAAGAGCAATGTATTATTTATGTACCTAATGGTACACCACATAAACAAAACCTTTTCACAACTAACACATCTTAGAAAGGTTTCTCAGTCATATTATAATGGCATTTAACAATAGTTTGAACCATTGCAAGTACCAATCTTGTTAAAGTCAATGGTCTTGGTCTCTGTATTGTCTAATGCTAGTCCTTAATCTTAATGGTGTTGACTCACTTAGATAAGAAGAATTTTTAACAATAAAAAATATGGTACTAAGCAAGAAATTTAAACATCATTAATACAAAGTTGAAGAAATTACACTAGCATAAAATACAAAGTGAATATAAATTCCCATAATATAATTGTACTTTTTTGGAGCTATCCGGGTTTTTTGAGTTCAAAGTCTTTCTGAGCAGCCTGAGAGCTTATAGCAGATTTTTCAGGAATAATATGAGAGCCTGATCGATCTAACAACAATAAAAATCACAAAATGTTGTAAAATATGGTGCTAAGCAAGAAATTTTAAACATCATCAATACAAAATTTAAAAAGGACACTAGCATACTATATGAGTGAACAAATTCCCCTAATACAATTGTACATTTATAGTGCTTCCTGGTATTTTAAGTTCAAAGTCTTTCTAAGTAGCCCAAAAGTTTATAGCAGATTTTCAGGAAGAATATGAGAGCTTGATCCATCTAACAATAAAAATTACAAAAGAAATGACAAAACAGTCAAAGTGAACCAGCTATTGTGAAACATCTTGCAGAAAGTTTAGCCCATCAATGTGGGAAGAAATATAAAAAATGGAGCTATATTGGAGAAGAAGGAAAATAAATATCAAGAAGATTTATTTTCTTTCAGCATTTATTATCTGATCAAAACCAATCCCTAAAGGTACAGCTCAATGGAGCTTTGTTTTACTTGAATGTAAAAATATTGGTTAAAGCAACAAGAGTTTACAACTTTCCAAAGGATTCTTCAGAGAGAGGGTAGACAAAAATCAGTGCTTCAACATTCATAGCTAAATTGTTATCTCTTAACGATAGGATGTTAAATCCAAATCTGGCCATGGGAACTTCCTATATAAATATACAGGATATTTAGGAAGTTGTAAGATTGAGCAAACAAATTAAACAGGAAACGACAACACAGAACTTAGTTTAGAAAAAAACAAGCCATACAATTGATTAACATAAAAAAGTGGCATCTTTATGCATCAATCAATTTGTCATCACCAAAGCTCTTCATGCTTCTTTTTTTTCCCATAAATTACTCTTCTCCAACCTTCTTCATCTAAATACTCTCTCAACAATCTCTCCAATTCATGCAGATAAATTAATATAAAGCATCTGCATAACCAGCTCTAGAAATCCACCAAGAAAAAGATCCGCTTTTTTAATACAACTTAACCCTCTCAAACCGTCTTTTGCATGAACCTCGGTTCCCATTTCAGATAATCAGGGCATTTCTGACCAACACATTATCAGTATCTATCAAGTGATTATTAATCTCTTTGCGAGCCCAGAAACAAGTCTATCTGAATTAGATCATTTTATCTCCACTAATTCTTCGCTGAGATCCAAACGACCAAAAAGGAAAAAGCAAAAAACATTAACAAAAGACATCAGATCCGAGGACGACGAAGCATATATCAACGATAAAGAAACAGAAAAAGCCCAGATCATGGAAATCCCAATATGTAATAGGAATAAGTGCCGCACAAACTGAAGAAGTCAACAAACAGACAAGGATCCACAGGAACAAGAGGAGACGTACCTCGGCCAGAGATGGGGGTTCCTCCGTGGCGCTTTCGGCCATGGCAGGTGACTTCGGGAGGCTATCGGAGATTCTACAAAGGCGGCGCCTTTGCGTCTCTACAGAGTAGTCGGAAGAGCAAAAAAGGAAGCGAGGTGGAGGCAATAGGTCCGAGAGAAAGCTTTTAAGAGATTGGAGAAGCGTTAACCAACCCAGCTAACTGGGCCTTTCGAGTCTAATCAGGCCCATTAAAGGCTTCCAGAGAGGCCGATAAAGTCGGTTCTTTTGATCCATGAAGAAGCACCTGGGACACGTGGGGAAAGACAAACCCCATTGCACCAGCTTCGAGTACAACTCTATCTTGCACCCAATCAACGAAAGGTCCATGCCGGTCATCGCGGACAAATACGGAATCACAACCCATATGTTACGATCGGACGTTCCTCATTGAAGCTGAGAGATCCTTTGGCCGGGATGCTGAGGGAAAATAACTTGTATATATTATGCCCATATGAAATATTCTTCTGCAACGCCCAATCAAAGACGGCCGCCAATATATAGCTGCAACACCAAACAAGTATTCCAAACGCTTTTTAAGTTGCGAGACTTGTGTAAACACTTTATACAGTTTGTGTATAAATACTTTTGTATAATTCTAAAAAATATATATATGATATGCTTTAAACATTTGGCAAATAGAATAATGATTTATTCTGAATATTTATTGCTGATCTTCCTATTATATGCAAATTCAATCTCTGCCTTTTCTTTTTTTTTTTCTTTAAACAGGAGAAAAGATGGTTCTGTTGTCTTTACGTTGAATTCAATATTACTTACTTCTTGTCGGAAATATTTTTTTCATTTACACATATTCTTATAATTTTTAATTTAAAAAATAATTTTCACAACACATATATGGATCAAGTTTTTATACAATATAATCACAATGGCATAAGAGCATGAGATTCTAAATATATCAAATTGACCATATTATTATTATTATTATTATTATTATTATTATTATTTGCTTATGTTCACTATAATTATCTGTTTGTATTTGTAATTTATTATTTGTATAAAAAAGAACATTTAAGAACATAGACTTTTCATTTGCCTTACTGATTTGTCATTTTAATTAAAACATCAATCGGTAAGCCATGAACAATCTTAATCAAACAATTTATGATCCATTCATTTTTAGCATTGAAAAATAATGTCTGGGAAAAAAAGTATAATCTCATTTCTCTTTCTTAAATTGATAAATCTAGGAATTAACTTTTGATATGATGATCTCTATAAATTTATTATTATTATTATTATTATATATTATTATTATTATTATTATTATTATATATATATATATATATATATATATATATTCTCTAACAACAATCTTATCAAACATGAACATCACTAATAAGATCTTTTAATAGATTACCATGCAATCTCCATAACCTGCTTAAGAAAAGAACTCTTGTACAATCGAATAAATTCAAAATGAATAAAAGAATTATGATCATTAGTGAGAACTAAAGATTCAAATACCTCAATACATCTTCTTAGTTCAAATAGGAACCACACCAACCCCAAGAATCTTGATATTTAATTCTAGTCACAACAAATAGCTACCTTAAATCCTTCTTTTTTATCGTCCCATTATGTACAGATTCAATCCCTTTTTTACTCTGACAATTGTAGAAGATAAAAATGGTTTCGGTCATCCTTAGGTTGAATCCAACATCATTCGATTCTCATAGCAAATATTTTTTCACTATATATTTATATAGTTTTCAACTGAAAAATAAGCATATGTTTACATCAAATAACTGCAATGTCATGAGAGTGTGGGATTCCAAACATAACAAATCGACCGTATGAATTTTTTTTTTTGGTATATGTTGACTATAGTTGTCGTGGAGGAGGTTTGTACTTGTAATTCATTATTTATAAATAGGTTTGTACTTGTAATTCATTATTTATTATTTATATGAGGAAGAACTACCAAGAATCTAGTCTTTCTTTTGTCTTACTGATTTCATCATATATAACTTGTCATATCCTCAGCCATTTGATGATGAGTATAAAATCATTTGATAAGTTTCCTTATCATCTCAATTATAAAAAATTGATAATAAAAAACTTATGCTTTTTGATTCATTTATTATCAACACTAAATAATGATGTTCTGAAAAAAAAAAAAAAAAAAGCCTATTTCTCTTCCTCAAGTTGACAAATCCAATGATAACTTTTGATATGATCATCTCTCATCATTCGTATATATTCATTGAACTTTACATAGTTGTTGCTCTGGCATTAGTGTTTATGTCATAATATAAAGTTTACATAGTTGTTGCTCTCAGCAGAAAAATAACTTCGCTAATTCGTATATATTTATATTTTCTATACATTCTAACTTTCTTGCTCATAATATTCTTTTATACTATAGTATTTATATGATAATCTAAACTTTTGCTTATATGCTCTTATCGACCCCAATAACTTCATCCAAATGTGGGTGATTGAAGCTCTCAAACATAACATACTAATGTTAGTGGTCATCCAAAAATGGATGAATCATGTTACGTTATGATCTCACATCACCCTCTATGTTTCTTTAACATGTTTTTCAATATACATATTTATGTGTTCCTATAAGCTCCTTGGATATAATTGAAATGAATAAAATGTCAAATATGATACTTGAGCCTATGTTTTGTATTTATTTCTTGATATGCTCCTATAATACTCTTTACTCTATTGTCATGAATAAGTTAAAAAAATTATCAAATATGACTTTGCTCTTAAGCTAATGACTTATATCTAAATATTGAGTAGCTTATATATTGTTATTTGCTTCCTTGTTAAGTATGCTTCCGAAATGATATATATGACTCTTGTATTCATGCTTTGTATTTTGAGTCTTCTATCATATGATATGTTATCTTTTTGTTATAGATATATTAATCACTTGCTAAGCATCGTAGCTCATCTTGTTGCTATATAATTTTTTTTAAATTAGCTTGTCACTTATCTTAATGTTAGGTTTAGGTTGAGAAAATGAAATGCTAGAAGATTTTGATAAGTTTTTGATAGTTTGATATGATGTTGTTGTAAAAGTATACTTTGCTTGCAATGTTGTTCAAATAAATCTGAATCGATATGTATTATAAAGGTTAAATAATCTCTTGGAAGTTTAGAATATTAAGTTTGAAGTTTTATATTGATATGAACTTATGCTAAATAGTTAGTTTTTTATAATAATAATTCTTAATATTGTAGGTTTATAAGTGGTTGTTAATGATTTTTGAGTTGATCTTGGGTTTAATGGAGTTATGAGTGATGAGTTGAATAATTAAGAAATATACAAATTTTATAGATGTGAATGATAATGTTGTTGGGCTGACAGCCCAAAGTGGGTCCAGCCCATGGTGGGCTTTATCAGTCCACAGCCCACACCCCTTTAACTTAACCCTAGATCAATATAAGGGGGGTGTGGTGACTGCGTTTTGAGGTGAAGGTAGCTACGTTTTTTGGGCAGAAAAGGTAGAAACATGGAGAGCTTTATAGCAGCAAAGAGGAGAAGAAAAAGGCAGAAAAATAAAAGAAAGAAAGGGAAGAAAACAAGGACAATGCATAGAGACTGTTCTCAATCATCTAGTAGCGTTCTCATCTCAGGTTAGATCAAATTTATAGTAGACTCTTGCTGTGATTACTTAGGGATGTTTTAGATATTATGGACAATGACATGATTCTTGTATCCTAGTTATTCTCTTGTGATTGTTGCTAGGGTTTAGGGCAAGAGATTGAGATTTGTATATTCATTATTCTCATAGTGGATTATCTCTAGTTTGCCCCATGGTTTTTACCCTTCACATTAGGGAGGTTTTCCACGTATATCTTGGTGTTCTATTTGATTGTGATTTCATTTAATTCCGTTGCATATCATGGCCTACTAGTATTTGTTCATATACAAAAGTTATTCCACTTTATATCCCATCAACTAGTATCAGAGCAAGGATTTTTGGTAATTTAATTTTGTATTTAAATATGGAGGTCAGTAATATTTCTCGCATGATTAGTTTAAATGGAAACAATTAATGATATGAAAACCAAGAATGAAAGATCTCTTGTATTGCAAAGATTTGTATGGACCTTTGTAGGGGATAGTACAAAACCCACAACTATGATATATGATGAGTGGAAGAGGTTAGATCAAAAAACAATTGGGTTTATTCGATAGTGGCTTGATGATAGTGTCTTTCACCATGTTTCTACTGAAATTTCTGCATATTCTCTTTGGAAAAAGTTGGAAAGTCTCTATAAAAGAAAAATAACTAGCGATAAAGCTTTTCTGATCAGAAAACTTGTGAACCTAAAATATAGAGAGGGTGCTTCTATTGTTGAGCATTTGAATGAAATGTAAAGTATTACTAACCAGTTATCCTATATGAAAATGTCTCTTGATGATGAGTTGCAGACATTGTTATTTCTCAGTTCATTACCAAAAAGTTGGGAGACACTAGTGGTTTCCCTCAGTAATTCTGCGCCAGATGGTATTATCACTATGAGTCAAGTAATAAGCAGTTTATTGAATGGGGAGTTGAGAATAAAGAGTTTAATAATATCTCAGAATGATTCAGAAGCACTTATCTCAGAGAACAGAGGAAGGAAGGTCAAAGTCTAGAAGCAGTTCACGTATGAGTAAGAGCAAGTCAAGATCAAGAAAAGATATTGTTTGCTGTAACTATGGTGAGAAAGGACATTATAAGAACCAATGTAAGCAATATAAGAAGAGTAAGAAAAAGGGAAAAGAAGTGGAGTCTACAGAGTCAAAAGATAATATCATAGCTATAGTGCAGGGTGGTGATTATTTGATTTTGTCTCCTTCTGATGATATTTTTTCTTGTGTGTGTCAAGATCTTGAGTGGGTGATTAACATAGGTGCTTCTTATCATGCTACACCACGGAATGAGTTTTTTGCTACATATAGGTTTAAAAATTTTGGTATTGTCAAGATGGGCAACTATGACACAACAGACATCATAGACATGGGTGATATCCATTTAAAGACCAACTTTGACTACAAGTTGACGCTTAAGGATGTGAGGCATGTAGTTGACTTAAGGCTGAATTTAATTTTAGTTGAAAGGCTAGATGATGAAGACTATGATAACAGATTTCA